TGCCTATAACGATTTTTAATATAAGGTAATTTCTGCTTAAATGAACTTGCAGATCTCAAGGATAATGCTAACATTTATCATCATCTATTGGATCTACATAGGGCTATATCACCTCTTCAGTAATAACACAGATGATGCTCATGAGAGGTTGTGTAATTGTACCTGCATTTTGGAAGATGAAGGATAGAAATAAATCTTGGTACAAATCAAGATTTTACTTGTCATCATGAAGAGCCAAGAGTAAAGATTCAACATGATTATATGGGTATGAACAGTCTCATCCAGTATTGACTTGTTCGTTGTCGATTGCTGATGGTTTTTACCATCAGATTTCAGTAATGAGTGTTTCTCTCCCTGTATAATTCAGATGAATGGGTTTGATTTTGCATTGCAAATGCAGTTGATGTAATGAGACAGGGAGTTGTTGCAGCTCCTGGCACGGACATGTCTCTGGCCAGGAGTGCAGGAGAAGAATTCAGACCCTGTCTGACCAGGCAGGAGTGAGCTGGGGAGAGCCCAAGGCATGTGGATAGAGCAAAGGGACCCCTTCATGTTATCCCAGAGGAGTCCTCCTGGGTTTGATCCCTCCATTGATTTCATCACTTATTTTGCTATATCATGAAGCTGCAGTAGTGTGTTAGGCTCAACAGTTTTTCTTTCCTGGACATCACAGGTTAGTAGAAATTCCTCCCTGGGAAGATACTATCAAATTCCCACATATTTCCTAATGAAAGAGCAGAAACCTGGAGTCACTTGTCGCATACAGTTTCTCCAGGAAGGGGTAGGGATGGCCACTGGTCTGCAGCTCAGCAAGGGTGGAGGGTTTATCTTATTAGGAGACAGAAGAGCTGAGGAATGGCACAGAACTGGTCTATCAGTATCCAACTGCCTCTAGTGCACATGCCTGCCCTCAGTGTAATACATGGTAGGAGATAAACCATACTGAAAGCAAAGAGGTGCAACTAGGTGGCCACTCTTAGCACAGCAAACCCAAGCACATTAGTTATGGATGCACTAGATCCATTCATTTCTCTGGTTTACCAGGAGCATAAGAAGGGGGAGTATTTCGCAGTATTTCGCCAGCTGATTGACATTTAGGCGATGATGGATATATGGGCATAAAACTTTGCCCAACACACACCACCCGCAGCTGTCGGGGTGAGGGAGGGGGGCTTCCTCTCCTAGTCCTGCAAATATGCTTAAAGGGAAAGTGTCCCCAGTCGTTTGCCACTGCTCCAGGGCTGAATCACTCAGGAAGCCATCTCTCTTGATGTTGACATGATCTGTGTGTTAGAGGTAAAAAGAAGTTTTCATGCAGAGGACTGCACAGGAAAAAAGACTTCCCTGCAAGCCCATCTGTCCCAAGGCATGCAAATATGTTGCTCCGGCTTCTGCTGGCTAAGGTTACAATAAAACAAAATAACACTGTGAGGGAAAGCAGTTTGTAACTCTGAGGAGGTGAGTCTCGAGGCCAACTCTTCTCGATTTTGGTGACTCCTAACATCTTTTTTATGAGGGTCTCTCTCACATGCTCACTTGTCCATTCGAGGACAGAGCAGATGACCTCTCTCCCGGAGAGGGACCTTAAGTCTGTGCAAGATCTCATGGGTTGCAGAAGGACCAGCAGGCTCCAAGCCAATGCAGTGGTATTGCTGTGACACTCAAATGCCAATAAATTCCAAAATAAAGGGTTTGATCACAGCATTAAAAACTTCCCACATGAACCATTTTGAATGACTGGAAGGTGATAATCTAAATATAAATCTTAATTTTTTTTTAAACACTGGTTTGAGGCACAGAAATACAGCTTCGGTTGACTTTCAAGAGGAGTCTGTGGGAACATCTGACAGCAAAATTAAGTTATATGTTTCTTGTGGGAGTTTGTTTCCTACAAAAACTGCAAACCCCTCGTTTCCCTGGCACTTAGATTTTTAAACCTGTAATCCTAACAGGATATGAACTGTTTTCAATTCCCCCCAGTGATGGTATTTCATCCTCCAAAGGAATCGCCTGGGGAGTGGAGGGGAACAGGGACATTTAGTGCCAATGTGAGGGTGTGATTTATTTTTAGAACCTGTGTGGTGATCAGCTCAGCCAAGGAAGTTTTGTCACTGATTTCAGCAGGTCACAAGTTCACACATAGCTTTTGAATTAGTTTGGGCGAATAAAGCAGTGGGAAGGAAACGGAAGATCTGGAAGCAGACAGAGGAATAAATGGGGTAAGAGACCAATTAAACTGGATAAAAGCAAAGAGACAAACAGAGGGCATGGTGAGGGCTTTAATGACTTCTATAGCACATTTCAAGGGTATTTCAGGTGAAACCTTTTTTGGATCACTCATTTAAATAGCGTCATTTCCACCAAAATAACTGGTTACATGACCAGGGTGAGGTGGATTTTAACCTTTCTGTAATCTTCCTACATAAATGTAATAGTTGCACAAAATGTACTTTTAGGATACGGTATAGAGAGAATCACAGAGTCATAGAAACAGTTAGGTTGGAAAAGACCTCTGAGATCATCGAGTCCAACTTTTGACCAATCACCACCTTGTCAACTAGACCATGGAAATAAGTGCCACATCCAGTCATTTCTTGAACACTTCCAGAGATGGTGGCTCCACCACCTCCCTGGGCAGTCCATTCCAATGTTTAACAACCCTTTCTGTGAAGAAATTCCTCTTGATGTCCGATCTGAACCTCCCCTGGCACAACATGAGGTTATGTCCTGTCAGCCTGTTGCTGGTTGCCTGGGAGAAGAGGCCAACCTGCACCTGGCTGCAACCTCCTTTCAGGGAGTGGTAGAGAGTGATAAGGTCACCCCTGAGTCTTCTGTACTCCAGGCTAAACAACCCCAGCTCCTTCAGCCTCTTCTCACAGGACTTGCCCTCTAGACCCTTTGCCAGCTTTGTTGCTATCAGCTTCTGGACTTGCTCCAGCACCTCCAAGGTGTCACAGTGTGTTTCTTTGTGTGTGATCAGATGCCCACTGGAGATGGAAGGACAATGAAACTCAGTCCCAGGAAAACCCAGCAACAGTCATCTTAACTCAGTGAAGTTTGTAGCTTGGTGGCTGTAACCACTGAAAAACCTAATACATGATTAAACCCCAAATCCCACTGCACGGGGTCTAATGAATCACCTGTAACTGCCTCACCATGTACACACCAGCCCTTGCGCAGGGCTGTCCAGCACACTCGCTTCTCTCCAAATTAAGACCACACCTTTTGTCACATCTCAGTTAGGTGGGAGCAGGATGGAGGTGTCAGAAATGCACATGTGCCCACTGTGGAGTATGCTGGAAAAGGGGGAAGCCAGTGTGGCACAGTGGTGACATGCCAGCAGACAGCCTGAAGAATCAGCCAGTACCAGTACATGCATGTGATAAAACCTCAGGAACACATTTGGGAATTTGAGGCAGCCCCATCATTTCAGTAAACACCTAGTAGTGTAGCATAATGTAAATGTAAACATAAACATAAATATAAATGCAGGCATTATGAGAGGGCTGAATTCTCCTTGCAATAAATTGGAGTAATGGCTATTTTTACCCTCCTGCCTCTGGAGAGGGTTTTGGGAGGCCTGTAGGCAGACATATGCTCTGGCTGGGTACTGGCAGCCTCCTGCTACACACCAAGGCTGGATGCTTTCTCAGTGGCCTTTTGCTTACACCAGGATGAGGCCCTCAAGAGATCTTGAGAGCAATTGTTGGAGCTGCTGGTGCTGCTCATCCAGGTGAGTTTCCTCTTCCCCTCAATTTCTTTGCTGCCTTCTTGGAGAGCAGAGCTCAGTGCCATTTGTTTTCCCATCAGGAAATGAGCTGAGGTAGTGGTGGTTCCTCGTGGTTCCCCAGGAAAGGATACATTTGCAAAACAGTAAGGTACCAGAACAGTAACATCAAAATGGAGAGGTGCAGAAAGTGTAATTGTTACTTAAAAAAAAAAAAAAGTATTTGTGGAAAATATGAGTATTTACCAAATTAGAAGAATTTTCCCCCCATACCCTATAATGGAGAACTTTATGGTTGGAATTCTGAAGAAATTAAAATATTCCAAAATCTTAACTTCTTTGAACATGGGAGGTCCTGAATAAATCCCAGAGGAATTGGAGTCCCAGCACAGCGTTTTTGAGGACACCTAACATCAGTGGAATCAGTGCTAGACAGCCGACGTCTTCCCTTTCCCCCTTGCTGCTGGGCCCAGCATAACTTCTGGTGGCTGCAACTCTTCAGCCCTTGTCCTTTCTTGCAGGGAAATAAGTTGTGTGTGTTTTGGCAAGAAAGGCTGTGAAACCAGCCCCTGCAGGTTGTGTGACTGGCTGGGGTGTCCCAGCAGCAGCAGGCGCAGCAGGTGCCCTCCAGAGCATGTGCCCAGCAGCAGCTCTCTCCAGGGCTTGTTTTTATTAGCTGAGGAACTGGGGACAGCAACAGGGGCTTTAGCTGGGTTTACAAACCAGAAAGGTTTGCACTTTGGGTCTATGTTATCTAGCAGGATTAGCAAGCCTCAGCGTTTGGTGCAGTGACATTTCTCTGTTTGTTGTGTGATTGATCTTGTAAGGGCCTTTCTAGTCAATACCAAAATTTCCAGGATTTATCTTAATACCTTGGACAGATGGATCCTATTGATTTGAATGGAAGCTGTGGAGAGGGGATATATCATGAGTTCCTTATAACTGTTTACAGAGCAAACAGTTTCCATCTGCTCTCTCCTTTATTGTAAAGCAAAGGCAAAATTTAACTCAGCTGCAAAATTTAACAGGTGACCATCCTGTACATTAGAAGCACGTCACATCAGTTATTATCCTGCCTGGCTCTGTTTGACCACACACAGTTTAGTCAGCATCTGTGGAGTTCTGGGGTCTCCCCTTATGGCTCTGAGGTCTCCAGGCCACACATTTACAAGGGAATCTCTCAGCCAGGAGGGGCTTCTGCCTTACCTCCTACTCTCCATGCTCAGAAAAAAAACAGTACTCACATACACATCCCAGGCAACATTTTTTTTTCTCCTGTTTATTTCAAAAGTCTTTGTAATAACTTAATTGCAACATTCCAAATGTCACCTGGAATTTGACATCCTCCCAGATGTACAGAATTCATACTCGACCATGTATCACAGCATTAAAACACACAGTAAGGTTCCCCAAACACCATCAGTGGGTTCTTCCACAGTGTCATTAACCACCAGCTCTAAGAATCCTTCCCCAGCACCTCTGCACTGCTTTGCAATGTGGCTGCACATCAGCTGTCTCTGCCTCCTAGGTCTATAACCATGCTTCTGTGAATGAAGGGGTGCCAAGCCCAAAATACCCATTTTTGTTTGCAAATTGTATATAATGTACCAGTAGAAATGTGATCTGTATCTAATTGGCTTTGTATATGGCTTTTAGTCCTCTTCATTCAAAGATCTTATAGTGGAAAAATCCTGAGCTGACATAAAAAATGGGACTGATTCATCAAGAGCACTCACAATTACGGTATGTGTTGGAGGCAAAGTTCCTGTCAACCCAGAATTAAAGCATTTTAAAAATTGCCACTTGTTTAAACAGATTTCAGTCTTGAAATTTATTCCAGTTTAATGTTCTGCCAGGAAGCATCATCTGAAAGAGAGTAAAAATCTATGTTTTCTAATCACCAATTTACAGGAACTTATGCTTCTTCATTTTACCGCTTGACTTGATAAACACAACTGAAATTGTGCTGGAAAAATGCATCCATCTCCTTTTGACTTCTAGCAGGCATTTAAAAGTCATTACATCTGTTTAATTGGGCTATTTATTACCTGCAATTCAACTAAGTTACTCCAGATTCAGGCAACAGCAGCACTTGCTTCTTAGAGCATATCACCTCTTTTGGCTTATTTAGGTAATCTCTGTATAGTTCAACTCTTTGGGAGAATGCTGAGTGATGCTGGGCACTGGGACCTGCTGCAACTGTTTCTGGCTGGCAAAATGTTATTTTTTCTGACCAGTGCTCAGCTGAAATTCCTTTTGGTTGTTACAAATGTCCCTGGCTAACACCCATATGCAACAGCGGCAGTAAAAAGCTTGTGTAAGATTTGCTGCCATCCTCTGATTTCAGTACCAGTGATGAGAAATGTCCCTAACAGTGTAAAAACAGCAGCAGAAACTGGTTCAGCAAGTGCTGCAGCTGTTTGCAGGGCAATGTCCAGCACCCCAACCACCCAGCTGATGCTCTCCTGAACCCAAGCTTCTCCCACTGCTGGAGAAGCGTCTGGCTGCTGTGGACAGTGGCAGCTCTGCTCACAGCTTTTGCATGTGAGATCCTTACCGCCTCATTTAGGATTATTTTGCTTTTCTGGTATGTTGGTATTGGGTGTTCGTTTTTTTTGTTTGAGTTTTTTGTTTTTTGTTTTTTTTTTTGAAAAGCCATGACCACTTGAAGGTCAGCTGTCAAATGGACTGAGCGATCAGTGCAGGAAAATTGAAAATCATGACATCTTGTGTGTAGGCTGTGAATAATGGGCAACACTCTTTTGATCATTAAAATAGAAAATTATCTATTTTCCAACGTTTTTAGTCCATTAAGAAGGCAGGGATATGAGCACACTGCTGATGATTTGCACTGGTCTCCTGGCAGTACAATCACAGGGTCTGGCAGTCGGATGGATCCCACACCAGGGGAAACTTGGCCAGAGGAGGCAGCTGTGGATTGCCATGACATTCAACTCCTCTCCAAAAATGACAGACACCTCGAGGCAGATCCATTTTCTACTGGGGACTGGACCACTATTCATGGTCTCTGGACCATGGACATGTTTAAATCTGTGGACAGAGGTAACTCCATCCCTGAGTGCTATGCAGACCAAGGCATGGCCTCAAATACATTTTGTTTTCATACAGATGAAGAAAATATAAGCCTTGCCTGCCCTGGTGCTGGCAGAAACCCAGGCTTTTCCCCAAGGTACAGGTGCATTGAGCATTGGAAAAGAATGCTATTGTAATTTTGTGGTGCATGCCTGAACTTTGGGGCCCAATTGTATATTTTAGCACCTTACTTTCTGTTCAGAGCACCACTTCTTCTGTTGTTTCACTATACTTGTAGGATGGTAAGACAATTTTCCCTTTTTTTTACTGATAAAGATCTCTTAGCAGATATAACCAGCCCTTGGTAATTGATTCATCTTGCAATATTTATATATGCTGTCATCCTATGAAAGTCTAAACAAATCTATCCATTTTATGAAGAAAGTAGATCACAGGAGGATTACTGCTTTGCCGATGCAGAGGGGGAATGTAAAATGAGTTGATAACTGCACCTGTGTCCCAAACACTCCAGTTCCAGGAAGAAACCAGGGTTCAAAGGTGGCCAGAAACAGTCTAGCACAGGCTATACACACAGCACTTCGCTGTGCTTCTCAAGAGAGGCTCAATACAACATCAGTCTTCTTTTTCCCTTTTTTCTTTTTGCCTTTCCCTGTGTTTTTGTATGTTGGTAATTCAAACAGCACAGCTGCTGTCCCTGATTCAAGGGCAGGGGCAGGTGTGTGCGTTGCCTAAAGACAGGGACTGTCCTTTGGAGCAGTGATGGCAAACACCTCCTGAGGCACAACAAAAGGGACTGCCAGCACCACCCAGCCAAGCTGCTTTAACCACCCCAGTGCCGACTCCCAGCCACCAAACCAACCTACAAAGGAACATCTTTGAGTATCAAGAGTCAGCACATTGCCCTTGATGCTGCAGCTGTGTACTCGAGGTCTTTTTGATAAAAGTGGTTAGCAGCAAGTAGAACCCCATGATTTACATTTCTTTGCCTGAACTGGAATTACATTAGCATGCCCTCGGTTTGCAATTGCCAAACAGGTACAAATATTTAAGGTTTTGAAGGTTTATACATGCAATTCTGTTTGCAGCAGTCAGGCAGGCTTGGTTTTAATCCCTTTAGAAGCTCTATTCATAGGAATTAATGTACAGCACAGGGCATTTTCCAAATGGGATTTACATACTTCTGACTAAGAATTTGAAAAAAATTAGATAAAATGGGCAAATGAAACAGGAAAGTCTTTTTACATAAAAATTAATCTTTAGCATATTTCAACGGGTTTCTGTTGGTAGGAAAAATATTTTTTACTAATTTCAACCATGATACACAATCTATACTCAGGATTTGGATTTTACAAAACAATTTTTAAAAGAAAAATATTCGTAAGAGTGACTAATTTTGGTGTGATTGGGAACATCTGCTGGATATTTTGCTGGTGTCAATATTTCATCTATTTGTAATTAATACAAAAAGGAAAGGGATACCAACCAGAAAACAGCACAGAACTGATCACTGTTTTATAATTCAATGTAGAAGTGAGCAAATACCAAAACCAGTGAAATAAACTGCAGAAGTAAAACTACTGAGGCTTGTAATAGGAAACAGTAATGCCAGCTCAGTTAAAGATACCTACCAAGCTGTGCTCTTTTAAAAAGAAATAAAATAAACAGGAATGTTTTTTGAGCATGTGTCTTGAGACTTGAATAACTGAAATCAGCTGGAACTTTGGAACTAATATTTTTGCAGAGTACCCAACAAGGTAGTATTCCAGTGAGCTAAAAATGTGTTTGTATAAGTAGAATAGTACTTTTTATTTTTGTAAATAAACAATGTTTACACACACAATCCCTCCCCACCTCCAACAATCTGCAAACCATTTTCAGATGTGCTTTCAGATACTGAGGTTTTACAATAAAATTGGAACTGAATTTTTGCACTGCCTGTGCAGTCTATTGATGTTACCACAAGCAAAAATTTTCTGGACATAATTTTACTTGCATGGAATAGGAAATTATACCCATTGAGAAAATTTGGCTGTTTGATTTGCAGAGTCAGAAATAGCAGTAATTTTTTCTCATTGTTTATTTTATGTTATAAAAGCATTACTTTTGCATTGACTCACTGGCTTCAAAAATTACTGTTACATCTTGCAAAGTATAAAAGGAATACGAGAACACCTTTGTATTTCTTAAGACTGTTTGATAAAGCACCACCTGCTGGAGAGCCCAATCCTGAAAACACATGGGATGATGATGTTACACAATTTTAAACCTACCTGCATCCCATGCTGAGCCTGGGCTTGGGAGCTGTCTGAGACACACCTGGATCTGACTTTAGACCTCTTTTTGGGTATGCAAACTTTAGGGCAATTGCATTTTCTTTTTGATGGTTTAAAGTCTTATTCTAATTACAGGGTGGATGTTACCTATTTAATAAACAAAAAGAGAAAGAAAAAAGGCATGTGTCTTTATTGGTAGCCACAGACTGTGGCTGTGTAAACTGAAGTAGTCCTTCCTCAGTGCTGTTGCTGTACAACATATTTATCATGCATAATGAACCACTTACTGTGTATGTACTAATATGCATATCCTTTGTGGAATCTCAGTGGAATTGTCCATTATTTTCTACAATGTAGTTTCTGTTTCCCTAGCATTCATGAAAGCAGAATTTGAGCTCAAATATGGACATATTCACACACACAAAAAGAAATTGCATGTCGGTTGTACAATGAGCAATGCACAGTTCATTAGTTATTTTGTGTGAGTCAAGTATTAATTTGCCCTAATTGAAGTTATTATGTAACATAGCATTTATTGTATTATTTAAATATAGCATTGCAAATGTGTATTGGTTTGGAAAGGCACATTAGTAATCCAATTAGAGCAGAAGCCATACCCATAGATTTGCTAGCAATCAGCAAAATACGGTTTTGTTTAGATTAGCTCCGAACATTCGTTGCAATGATTTGTCACTGAATATTTTTCAATTTAAAGGCTGGAAAAATACTAAGAAGTGAGAACGGTCTCATTGCTACAGCTAATTTTCATATAATTATAAATTCATCTCACATAGGCAATCAGGTTTATACCGTGCCTACATACCTGGCTATATGACCTCCACTACTGTTATAAGTCTGTCTTTCAGTAGCAAGCTAAGACATGACTGAAATATGGGTGAATGGTCATAATATACCCAAATTTTCACCCACAGAAAGCTGGGGAAGAGAAAAGACTCAGGGCCGGGGCTGAAGCAGTGCTGGGACACCATGGTCACAGAGAGCTTTGGTGTGATTCTTACATCTCTCCTGTCTTCCACCAGTAATTCTGGTTGCAATCAGAGCTCCTAATTGGGCTGGCAACTAGCACGTACATAGCAAAGAGGCACAAATACCCATCTTGCATTTTCAGTTGTGCCTCCTGCTGCATGGCCCCAACCACTGCCTAAAGAACATTTATATGTCTTGCTAGCAGTAATGGGAGTTACTTGTGCAATGCTTCTTCTGCAGGGAGACAGGCAAACTGCAGCCTCGTCCTTCAGAAACTTCCATGTGCGGCTGAGGTCACTCAGATTACTTCTCTGAACATCTATATGGTCTGAAGGACGTCCTTCCTTATTGCAAGCAAAAAAAAAGCGATCTAAATTTTTTGCACAAAATGAGAACTGTGCTTTGCAGATGGGAAGAAACCAAAGAGAAACAGATGACATCTCAGTGTGACTCCAAACTTTGTCCAAGACACAAATAGGGAAGACAAACCCCAAGAAGTGAATGTAGTGACTTGCCACATGCTACAGGTTTCACAAGAAACTAGTCCTTGTAATTGTTCTGCCCTGAGCTCAAGGGGAAAGAGAAGACGCTGCTTGGTCATTGTCCCTCATTAATTTTCACCTAAATTTTAATTTTCATCTGCAAGGTATTAGCACATGTGCCAGGTGAACTCGGTATCTCCTTTGTCTGACCAGCTCACACCTGTGCCATCATTGGTCTCACTAAGGGCTGGCTCACAGAGAAGTCCCAAGTCCTGTAGCTTTCTGCTGCTCCTGAATGCTCTTCCCTGGGCTCAGGCAGCAAAAGACTAATCTGGGGCATGGGGTCTGAGCTCAGGTCTGCACTGCCTGTACAACTTCTCAGCAGGCAACTGGGATGTCTTGCTCTGTGCCAGCTAGGAGTCACTGCTGCTGTTCTGCAGGGGGGGCTGAGGGGGTTGTATCAGGGAAGATGAACTTTTAAATCCTAAGTTAATTGCATTCTTTCAAGGCTATCCAAAAATAAAACCTAGAAAAAAAGAAACATTTCAAGAATGTAATACAACTCCCAAATTACCTGAAAAGAAAGTGCAATCTAGTGCAGTGTGCTTTCACTGTCCCACTCTGTTCCTTCAGTTTCCTTCTGATTTCTTGTGCTTCAGCCTGTGTCCAGGTATTGCTGGTATCTGCTTTGTCTGTGAAAACGAAATACCAGGAGGAATTGCACTTGGTGCAATTGGTGCATGTTTAGGGGTTAATTCACAAAAGGAGCAGGTTGCCCCAGGGAATCCCGAGCTGGACCATGCACAATCAAAGAGGAGTTAGGTGCCCATGTCTGGCAAGTTTAAAGAGGAATTGTCATTAAGAAAATGCTAAAGGAAGAGCACAAGGGACTACGAATGTCTGATCTCAAATCTCCTATGTCCTCTTGGCTCAGGTAGTCATGCACAAAGGTGATGGGTGCCCAGGTAGTGTTAGCAGGCTAAAGAGTAGAGACTTGGAGCTTGGTTTTCATGCATCCTTGAAAAATACTTCGGCCACTGAATATGAGGGAACTGTAAGGCCACCCTTACATGCTTCCCAGTGAGACCCAGCTCAGTAACTTTGCTCTGATCCTCTCATAAACTGGCTTTGCTGAGCCAGATGGGGTTGGGGATTTTTACAGGGCTTAGATACAAACTGGGGGTCCCTGTCGTTGAGCTGTATCAGCTTCTAGGGATATGTGCACTGCAAGAAATAGGGGCACTGGTAAACAACTGGGCATGCACTTCATATGCCTCTGAGGCTAAGGAGAAGCAGAATGGAGTGTATCAAGGATCTTGGGAATAAATAAACATTAGACCTAAGTGCATAGAGCAGCAATCAGATGCTCAAATCCCTTGAGAAGCCCAGCTGTAGGACCTGGTCCAACTTCCCCTGGGGTCAACAGGAACTGCAAAGGGTCCTGCAAAGGCACCACTGTAAACGATGGTACCAGACAGACTCAGAAACATTTAAATCATGTTACAACAGACTGCCTTTGCCTAAATGCAGAAAAAGTACAGAGGAGGTATGTACAACTTCATATTACATCACTGTATTTCCCAGGCAGGAATAGGTAGTTTGACAACAATTTACAAACATTTAAACAGGACCCTAATTATGGTTATATTTATCCTTTAAAAACAACTTACTGAAAAACCCCCCACCTTAATTTGCAAATTTTTCCCCACAAGAGTTCTTCAGCTCACAGAATGTTAATGAATTTGAACATGGTTTTATGAGCAAAATAACAAATTCTCCTGTGGCTTGGGGTCCTATCTATTCAAACTCCTTAGTCCTTTGGGACAGAGCCCATCTGCCTTGATTCATACAACACTTCACAGAGTGGGGCTCCTTCTAATGAGTAATAGTCCTCATGATGGCAAATGTGCCAAGATACAAGCCTGAGAGTCTAGCCGCAGAAAGAGAGCAGGGTCTCATTCACACTTTTAATTAACGAACACATAAACCATCATAGTTATTTACCTGTAGGGGTAACCCCAAGGGAAAATAACAAATTTTCATTCTTTTGGTTCCCTGCCTCTGCTGTTTCCAAAGATGTCCCCGGCATCTCTAGAAGGTGCCTCCCTGAAATGGGTCTTTTAACTTCTGCAGCCAGTCTTTGAGTCTTCTCCAGACCATGACCTGCCCCTACACAGCCTGCTTAAATTTATCCTTCAGTGGGCTTCAAGTTAGGATCACCAAACACTTTGAACTCTTCCTGCTTCTTCAAAGAGCAGGAGTGCGCAGACAGGAAGGCACTCTGACGCGTGGACCTTGGGGAGTCTCCCTACCATCAAGAAAGCTCCTGCCTCTTGAATGCGGACTCTACTATACCACATAACCTTAAGTGTGAGTCTGTGTCAGGTAGAAAGAGAACACAATCATTACTGCCTGTTTCTGGCCAAATGCATCTTGACAAAAGCTGTGACTATATTTAGAGTGTGATACAGATCCATGTGTGATGGTTTATCTGCTGCTCTGATTCCTTTTCGTCAGGAAAAAGATACAATCATTGCCATACTTCAGCTGGCAGGCTCAAGTGTGCAAAACCTCAAATTAAAAGTTAGTTTTCCAAGGTTAAATTCCAAAACATTTTGCACCACTACAAATTTAAAGGAAAGCAAAAGTGATGGTTACCCCAAACCCAGGCAAAGCAAAGTAAAGTAAGTAAACAACAGAGTAAAAATTCCATGAAACTTCATGGAAATATTTTCAATCATTTCCAATATTCCCAGTTTGTTTTCATCAGCGTCTTCAATTTATTCAGTGACCAACCTAGTTACTCATGGTCTTGCCTACAACTTCAAAAGAAGTTTCCAAGAGCAGATCACTGTGGCTCAGAATATAAGCTCAAGTTTTGTTTCTTGCCTGGAATCAGCAGAAGCCTTTTAATTAACTTCACAGCATAGTAGAGAGAATTTAGAGAAATGATCCAGAGCTGTGCATGTATTTCAAAAGAGATTTGCAGCAATTCCTCTGCACCCATTTGTTATGCTAAACTAGACACTCCAGACCAGGTTTGCTTCTGGTTTTTCAGTGGTTTGGGCTAGTGCAGGTTAAATATGGCTTAAGATGGTAGCAACAGCCAAAGGCCAATTTATGACTTCACATCAGCATTCTGGGGGAAGCCAGCTTTCGGGGGGAACTCCAAAGTAGTGCTCTTCTGTATAACCTACACAGTCAGATTTGTGGGAAACAAGTACAGGGTTGGAGCCCTCAAAAAACTGCAAGGAAATCATTTGCATGAATCTCTGCAACAATATTGCAGAAGCAAAAGATGCAAATTTAGGACAACAGAGAGCCTGCGTTCATTTCAGTGACTTATTTTAATGTGAAAGTAATGAAATAAGCATTTCAGTGGTGATGCAAACATTTGATACCAGAGGTGCATACTGGCTTCTCTTGCATTACATGAAGTCAGTACTGAAGATGACAATTGCCTGTTTCCAGTTATTCAGTAGGCAGGAATAGTTTTGCACACTTTGATACGGTCCTTGATAACCCCCTGACTTTTATGAGTTAGGTGGCAGGCAGTCTTTCAGACATGACTGGCTAAAACCCGTAATTTGTATGAGGGGAATCCAGCCCATTCAATCCTCTGCTGTTGAAGTCAGTAGGGTTATTGAAGGGAAGCACAATCACACTAAAGGTGGTGTGGCAGCCGTCACCTACATGTGTGTTACATACAGGCCTGCTGTGAGGAATTGCTGAAGAGCATCAAGCACAAAGCTCAGGGCCAGATCCAGACTTCAACAAACTGTGAGATACTGGTTTAATCAAACCTTACCAACCCCATGTTTGAATATGGAGCCAAACTTGCCCACAACGCATTTTAACACAGAGTTTGGGTTTAGGCTCTGTTCTGAAGAACAGGCTGGTATTGACACCATCCTAACCATGCACACCATCCTTCTGTAACTGCCATCAGATTCTGCATCAAAGACATCCAAGTCTCTTCCAAAAGACCCTCAGGGGAAAATTGTAACATAATGATAAATATCTCAATGCATATTAGAGAAAACTTATAAAACCCCCAGAGACTAAAATGCTGAACGCCCAATGAATACCAAGGCTGTGTCTGAATTTAAAACTTTCCAGTAGCTTACAATGATAATTCCAGCCTAGTCGCCATTTCATTTTTATTAGAGAAACAAAAGGAATTTCAAAAACTCTACCTAGAATCACTCGTTTCTGCCAAGCGGTTGTTCATGATGGCTAGAGCACCCACCCCCGCAGAGAAACCGTTTTGTCTCGTATTGATACAAACATTCCTTGGGTAGCCGTTGGCCGTCTCGGACAACTGCTTTTGCAAAATGGCCAGGGAGACTTTATTGGATGCCGTGAGCTCCCTCATGGAGATCATCTCTCCAGAGAGCCTCCTCCCCTCCGTGTCACTGTCGTACTGTCCATCAGTGTCCACTGAGATGTTATGTCGACGCAGGCGGGCTCCGGGGGTGATGGCGTTGCGACGGCTGAGGCGGGTACTTGATTTATGGCACTTTGGGCAACATCTGCATTCGAATTTTTTCAACACCCAGTTCAAAACTTGCTTGATTACAATTGAAATGACATTAAAAAGAGAGTATATGCAACATACCCCCATAAATATAAATACAAAGTTTCCGAATCTGTATAATCCCTGATTTTGGTATGCAGCGTTCTGGCTGCTTACCAAATCTCCAAAGCCGATGGTGCTGAATGTGACAAAGCAATAGTACAAGGAATCAACGTAGTTCCATCCTTCCACCGCCGTGTACATTGCGGAGGCGCAGCAGGAAAGGGTAATAGCAAATATTCCCAGAATCAGCAACACATGGTAAACGGATGGCTTCCAGCCCACGAGGCTGCCCACCCCAGACATAGCTGGCCCCCTTCGGAAGTTGGGAGGTAGGAGACCACTTCTTCGCAGCTGTCTCTCGTGGCATGCCTTCATGATAAATGCCAGGAGGGAGATAATGCGCTCCAAGAAGAGGTTGAAGAAAAGGATAGTCCCAGCACACCCAAAAAGGCCATAAACGATGAGGAATACCTTTCCAGCCACAGTTGCGGGTGTGGTCATTCCAAAACCTGTGGTGTGGAGATAAATGGGTAATGTTAATGACATAGGTTTTCATGTGTAAGCTCAGGATATGTGTAATTTAACAAGGGTCTCATCTCACTGGACAAAAGGAGTGCTATCTCTAAATCAGCTCAGGCCAACATAAAACCGAGTTCTGTAAAGAGCAAAGAAGGCACCACAAAGCTCAACAAGATGACTAAAACCTGAAAGCAAGAAAAAATCCTTGCACATATGAACAGCAGTGTATTAACAGAGCAACACCAGTCTGTAAACGCAGGTGGAAGGATCACCGAGCCCAAACCTCTTCAAGGTGGGATGAGGTGAAGAGACCACTTCACTGCTCGCATATGCGCCAGCCCCGCATGACCTGATGGAAAGTTTAAGCTTGCTGTTCACAAGTTGTAACCCAGTGTAACACTTCTGTTATAGAGGTCCAATTATATAATTCCTGCTGAGAAGAGGCAAGATTTCAGGCTGTATAACTCACCTCCCATATATCAAATATTGTTTTAAACGTAACAGCATTTTAAAGTCTTATCCAAATCCCAACTGCAACTAGACCACCTGGTATCATCACAGAGGGAAGGAAAAGCCATCACACTAGAGAGCTGCCTGGCAGACTGGGAGCATTAGGAACTCTCAGACTGATAATTACACCTGGGAAAAACACTGCTGCGAAGTTAAATAGAAAAATCAGAGTATAAACACTTGGGGAAGATGCAGCAACAATATTAATTCACCTCTTCTTTTTAAGAATTACTTATTGTAATATTACTTATTATTATGACATTACTCATACGCATAATTTTATGAACAAGCAGTAATATCTTGTAGCTACAGATGGTTAAATAACAGCAAAAGTGATCTTAAATTTGCATGCAAATAAATACAGTAAGTTCACTCCACGTTATTTGCTGTAGCAGTTGTATTATGGAAATGATTTACATATATTTCACATACAATCTCAGGAAGATGCTTCTGAAACTCAATTCTGCAGGTATTGCCCTTGTTCTACTACTCTTCCCTGTAAGAACACTTGGTGGTTGAGTCAAAAAGCACACTGACAGGATCGAGGTGACTGCTCATGTCCTATGAATAAGTAACTGCATGTAATCTAAACTAATGGTTTGTAAAAAATCCACATGCTGAAATTATTGTTCCACAAAAATACTGAGCCAGTAACATATTCAAGGAGGTAAATACCAATATCAGACCACATAAATAAAAGTTTGTAAAGAAAAAGGAGCTACTTCTAGCATAGAGCACAATGACGTAATTATAGATCATAATGAAATCATTAAATCCAGTTTATTACCATGATGCACCTTCAAACAGCAACAGGAAAATATTTCCTATATGTAATGAATTGAGATTGCTGCTTGAAATCTACTGGTTTATTTTTGCAATGGCTGTATTTCTTCTGGGTAGTTTACCTGTGCTCCCTTCCTACTTCACTGACAGAGAATTTCACATTGGTTGATAAAAAATGTAAATGCTCACGACAAGTAAACTCGGATATATCTTTTCAATAACATGAAGGTGCACGGTGAAAAAGGTGGTCCTACTTTCACAAGAGATTTGGCATGCTTGGAAACAGCTGTGTGCCAGCAATTCAGACTATACTGTGTAATTTGAGTTACTTGGTCTAGTGGAAGGTGTCTCTGCCCACAGCAGGGGTGTTGTGAATAGATGCTCTTTCAAGCCCCTTCCAACCCAAACCATTCTATTATTCTATGATTAGTACCTTCACAGTAAAAAGAGTATTTTCTGTAAAAGTCAGTGAAAAACTTGCACAGTATTACCAGAAAATATCACCGAAGAGGTAATTATATTTTGTTTTCTGGACCTACCGTATCTCCACTTTGTAGTGTTAAAAAAGACCACCTTTGAGCAGACCTGAAGAAGCCTGCCTTGGGGTCCCAGGTTTAATGTAGGTCATTGGGAAGCTCTTCCTAGTTCCTTCTCCTCTGTGGGGTAGACCTGTTCTTTGGATTGGGCTGGCTGCTAGCAGGAGCCGTCTCATTTAATGATGAATAGTGCTTGGCCCTCAGAAGAAGCTGGGGAGCCTGCTGCGGTTGCCAGCTAGAGATACACAGCCAGCTTGTTATGGAAAAGGCATCTGTTCGCCTCTGCCTTGTCAGCAAAGCATTTAAACATGTGCTTCACAGCAAGCATGTGAACATCACCATCAAAATAAATGGGTTTATTGTTCCACATATGGCTAGACACATTTATTAATTAGGGAAAAAAAAAAGAGGTAGTGACAGTTTGGATCAAGTTGTAAATGTGCTGAAGCTTTTCAGTATTTTCGGTGATCATTCATGAGAGGTGTTGAAGTTTTATACTTCTGATGTTTTGAGATTTTCTGAAGCATAATGTCACCAAAATTCAGTATGTAGCTATGCAAGGTGAAAGAACCCATCACAGCAACGAGAGTGCTAAGAAACAGGTGAGACCAGGAAAACACAGAATCATAGAGTCATTTAGGTTGGAAAAGACCTTTAAGATCATTGAGTCCAACTGTTAGCCCAGCACTGCCAAGCCCACCACTAAAACACATCCCTCATGTAACTTCAGGTCAACAGCTGGCTGAGGGAAGTGCACTCACATACTCTCCACACAGGGTCTTCCTTTGCCAGCCGTGTTTGTCCTTTGGCACCACCTGGACCACGAGGGGGTTAGTCTCGGTCTATTCTGTACACCAACTCTGAGCTCAACCCCCTCTCAAGGCTAAGGTACATCATGATGCCTGGATGAAACAAATTAATCCAGAACTGCCTGTGCCTGAGACAGTACAAGGAAAAAAGCGCAACGGTGCTTTACATTTTTCATGGCCCTGAGACGTATTATACAGGTACCTTGGGGTTGACTTTGTGTGGCTCGGATGCAATATTTCAACCTCCCTCATGCTAATTCTGCCTCACTCTGATTCACCAGTTCAAATACAAGCTCTATGGCAGCAATAATTTCATGTGTTTGATACTTCTCCTCCCCAAACCGAATCAGTAGAGATGAGTTGATAAAAACTCTCTTCAGCAGCCTCTCATGAGTAAGTGCTGGCAATAAATAAGACCCTCATCCTGACTTGTTTAACAGGTTCTGTGGTTACAATTCTGCTCTTGAGTTTAAATTACTTAACCTGGTGATGGATTCAAGAGGTAGTACAGCTGGGCAAACTCGTGACATGCTTCCTGTTGTTCTTGCTCTCTTTTACCTATTTTCTTACGGGTAAAAGAGATAGTTGATGCCAGAAGATAAAAAAGAATAGCAGCTTTAGTACCTATGAGCTCTTCTTTCAGGCCAATTGCTTTGTCTTACTATAGTTTGAGATTAAAAAGGTTGACAGTTTTCCAGTAAAGATGTATTTCTCCAGAGATGGAATAAAGTTTTAGTCACTTCAAGAACTACACAAAAAAAAGTCTTCCAGCCTTTACCATGGCATAATGTGTCCCTGCCTCTCTCAGGCACTCCAGTTCTTCTTATGCAAGTGTCCTGCTATAGGACTTCACTCACACAGCAAGTCAGCACATAATTTTACATCCTAGAGTGAAACAGCACAGATCATCAGTGTAGCATCACCTCTACATAAATATAATGTAGCTACATTTAAAGGAATAAAAGAAACTAAAATGGCTGAATACACCTTTTTAAACAAATGATTCCTCAGAAATAAACAATAACAAGAACAACTATAACCAGAATTCTGCTTCCAGAGGGAAAGAAGTTCTTGCAACACAAAGACTAAGTTCTTGCAGGATTGGTCCCCAAGAGATGGGGGTTACAGAACACAGACAGAGAAAGAAAGAGCAAGCAATTTTGTTTCACGTCTGTTCCACGCTTGCTTTACTTCATAGCTTTCCAACAGCCCTGGTTGGTCTTTATTGACTAACATGTAGGAACTAGCACCAAGGAAGAAAACATCCTATTCTGAATTCCAAGTTTGGGTTCTGGTGCTTTCTTCAACCCTTTTCCACCTGTTGGCATTTCATTACTATTTCCCCTGAGAATCATACCTGTATATTTCACAACTGCCTCTCATCTATTCTATAGCTCCTCACCACCTAACATTCAGAAACAGTTGCCTTGGATACAGGGTCACAGCTGAGAGCTGACAAAACTGCTGTATCCAGTGCTTTTACCCAAGGAATGAGACTACTACAAGTCAGTTCTTCCACCTGGCTTTCCATTTTCAGACTACAAATTAAAAACTTACTTTCCCTTTAACATTCTTTCTCAGCCCGCTTTACTAAAATACTGTAAATCTTTTTAGAGCTTTTCCACTGCAAATCCTTTAATATCAAAGTTGCTCTAAAAATCCCATTTGATCTTATTTAGATTAGTGTCTGGAAACAGCTCCTGAACAGTAGCAGTCTGCCTAGCACTGCACAAATTAAGACCTTTTAAGTTGGACCTATTCGATGTCTGAAGACATGAGGTACAACTGCAGTTTTTAGAGCTGGCCTAACCTGTATCATACATAAGCTCATAGTCCTTGGTGACCCATGTACTGAGCAGATATTCCATGGAGAAAATGCTGAGTGACTACGCAATTAAGAACTGACTCCCATAAACATTCTACCTATTGATCGACCCATTCACCCATCCACCCTTGGTCATACCCATACACCAACTCAACATGAATAAGCAGGCAGTTTCTGGCATTTCCTAACTTTCTAAAAGTTATTTTAGAGACATTCCTTTAACATGCGGAACAGACTTGTTGTTCCCAAAGCCTACAGTAAATAGGTGGTCAGAATTCCTGTAAATTTGCTGTGTGAACCAGAGTGACCTAAACCAAGTGTGAGGTTTTTTGGGTTTGTTTGTTTTCCTAACTGAATGTTCAGTATATAAAAAAGTGCATACATGCACCCAGAGACTTTGGGAAAAGATGCCCAGTCTATTCAGTGACCTGAAACACCACCATGATAAACTTAATGAATGTAGTTAAAACCCATCCAGGTCTCTGCTGTTGCTCCTTGTTTCATCTCCATCTGTGAAATATTAGTGA